TTTATGTATTTCTTAACTATTTAACATGTCTAAAAGTATGCCATCATTTTTATTAGATTTTTACCTTTTTTATTTGTCACTGATAAAATTTGAGTGTTAAGCCCCTAACCCCATTTTCCCATAAGCCCTGTGGTTATTCTTGTGTGATTTGACATAGCTTGGTGATTTTTAGGAATGCATATGTCATGTTACAGCAGGACTGACTGTATATATGTCCTTCTTAGCAGTTTCTTAATATGATGTGTCATAATATATTTAATCATTCTCTCACTGATGCACATTTAGGTTGACTCCAATTTTGGCATGAAAAATGTATGGATACAGCCAGGCGTGCTGGTGCACACCTATAATCCCAACTACTTAGGAGGCAGAGGCAGGAGGATCGCTCGCATCCAGTAGATTGAGGTTGCAGTGAGCTATGATTATGCCACTGCACTCTATCCCACGTGACAGAGTGAGACCCTGTCCCAGAAAAAAAATAAAAATAAAAAATATATATACATATATATATATATATAGAGAGAGAGAGAGAGACATATCAAATTTTTAACAGTGAAAGAGTTAGAATAAATACAAAGGTTGTTACCAGAATCAGGGATACACTAAAGTTTTTATGATATTGCCATTGATTGATTCATTGATTGATTGATATGGAGAAGACTATGGGAGGAGCATAATTTGGAGAGATCAGGAGCTTGATTTGGAGCAAGTTAAATTTGAAATACCTGCTAGACTTCCACATGGATATATTAAGTAGGTATTTGGATTACAAAAGTCTCAAGCACTATGGCATATATAGATCTGGGAAGTAAATATTTGGAAATCATCAAAGTATAGGTGGTATTTAAACCCATGAAACTGGACAAGACTACTAAGGAGGTGAATGTAGATAGAAAACAGAAAGAGTTCAAGGACTAAGCCCTGGAACAACATTAGAGAGAAATGAAAGGAAAAGAAAAGGAGATTGAGAAGGAGCAGCCAGTGAGGTAGGAGAAAAACCAGGAGAGTGTGATGTCTGGATGCCAAATGAAGATGTTTCCAGAAGGAGAGAGTCATCGATTATGTCAACCATTATTGATACATAAAGTGAGAGGAGGAGAGAGAACCATTGGATTTACCATGGTTGATCTTGATAGGAACAGCGTTTGGAGGAATAGTGGGGGCAAAAGCCTGATTAGATTTAAGAAAGCAAAAAAGAGGAAAACAGGAGATTTAGACGATTCTTTCTGGAACTTTCACTGTATAGACAAGAGAGATGAGGTATTGGCTAGAAGAAGTCAAGGGAGGATATTCTTAAAATAGAGAAATCTCACTGTGTTAGTGGCCTAATGAGAAAAATCCAATAGACGAGTAAATGCTAATGGAGACGGAAAGTGAGAGGGAGATTTGTTGGACAGAAGTCCCTGGACGGGTGAGAAGAGATGGGATATAGTGCAGAAAAGTAGTGGGTTGGGCTTGGCTAAGACCACAGAGTTCATCTACAGAAATAAGAAAAAAAAGGCTGAGATTATGGGCATAGATAAAGGCAGATGTGGTGGGAGATTATGTACAGTTTCCCTCATGCCCATCTGCAATGCCATGTAGCACAGTGGTTCCAGCAAGGGCTCTAAAGCCAGACTGTGTATATCAGATCCTGGTCCTATCATCCATTAACTCTTTGACTATGTACAACATTCAATTCATGTGTGCCTCACTTTCCACATCTATAAAAAGGAAAATATTCTTATCTAAATTTTAAAAATAAGTATGGGTGATGAAACTGAGAAACCCAGAGATTGGAGCTAATTTGCTCAAGGTCACACAGATAAGGAGTAAATTACCTAATATATTAATATATAAATGCTTAGAACATGGCATGTAAGTATCCAATAAATGTGAGCTTTCATTACTTATTTTTCTAATCTGAGGGATTGAAAAATGACATCTTATTATCACCTTATTTATATTTCCCCTACTTACTAATCAAGTACTTTTTCTCTTGGATTCATTCTCTCTTCTGTGAATTGCTTTTACATATCCTTTTCTCATTTTTTTCTTATCAAGCTATCAGAATATTCTGTATATCTAGAGATATTAGCCCATTACCTCTCATATACATGGCAGACATTTTTCTCTGTCATTTGCTTTTTCATTTGGTTTGTAATGATTTTTATCATATAAGAGTTTTGAATTAAATATGTAATTTTACTTATTTATTTAAATTAAACTGCTTATTTATTTAAATTAGATTATTTAAATTAAATTAATATAGTCAAGTATACATATCTTTTCTTTTCTTTTGAGGCAGGGTCTCACTCTGTCTCCTGAGCTAGAATGCAGTACTACAACCTCACACTCCTGGCCTCAAGGGACCCTCCTTCCTCAGCCTCCTAAGCAGCTGGGACTATAGACATGCACCACTATGTCTGGCTAATGTTTCTTTCTTTTTTTTTTTTTTGTAGAGATAGGGTCTCACTATGTTTCCCAGGCTGGTCTCAAACTCCTGGCCTCAAGCGATCCTCCCAAAGTGCTAGAATTACAGGCTTGAGCCACCAGCTTGGTCCCTGTTTTATACACACACACATACACACACACACACATACACATAGAGTTTTTAAAACTATTCTTGGATACTTGATTTTCCATATGAACTTTTAGATATTTTAAACAATTTTGCTCAAAAAAATTAGCAATTCCACTAAATTTATATTTTAATAAAAGTATCTTTTTTTTTTTTGGTCTTGCTCTGTTCTCCAGGGTAGAGCGTGAGTACAGTGGCGTCATCATAGCTCACTACACCCTCAAACACCTGGGCTCAAGCGAGCCACCTGCTTCTGCCTCCCAAGTAGCTGAGACTGCAGGTGCATGCCACCACACCCAGCTAATTTTTCTATTTTTTGTTGAGATGGGGTCTTCCTCTTGCTCAGGCTGGTCTCAAACTTCTGGCTTCAAGCAATACTCCCACCTCAGCCTCCCAGAGTGCTAGGATTACAGGTGTGAGCCGCTGTGCCCAGCCAAAATTGTCTTGATATCCTAAAATTGTCGCTCTGTTTACTTAGACCCTTCTATAAACATTTTTTTTTTTTTGGAGACAGAGTCTCACTTTGTTGCTCAGGCTAGAGTGAGTGCCGTGGCATCAGCCCAGCTCACAGCAACCTCAATCTCCTGGGCTCAAGCTCCTGCCTCAGCCTCCCGAGTATCTGGGACTACAGGCATGCACCACCATGCCCAGCTAATTTTTTGTATATATATTTTTAGTTGGTCAATTAGTTTCTATTTTTAGTAGAGGCGGGGTCTCACTCAGGCTGGTTTCGAACTCCTTGCCTTGAGTGATCCTCCTGCCTCGGCCTCCCAGATTGCTAGGATTAAAGGCGTGAGCCACCGCGCCTGGCCCCTTCTATAAACATTGATAAAACCTTTTTTATGACTCTTGGTACTTCTCTTAAGTTTATTCCTAAGTGCTTTTTATAGTTTTACCATTAAAGTGCAAATGGGATATAGTTTTCATTTCCATTTTCAACTAGCTATTGTCAATGTAGAAAATGCTTTTTATTTTTCTGTATCTATTTTGTATCTAGCTAGCCTCCCAAATTCTATTACAAATCCAAGTATTTCTTGAGCTAGACTCTCATGAGTTTTCAAGGTATACAATTGTGTAACCCATAAATACAGATAATAAAATGTTACATCATTTTTTTTAGTCTTACAGCATTAGCTAAGATATCCAAAGCAATGCTGAATAATAGCATTGATAAAAGATATCCTTCTTATTCCTGATAATGTTAAATGCTTTAATTTCACCATGTATTATATTTGTTATTGGTTTTCATAAACTGTCTATATCATCTTAAAGTAACTTCTTTCTACTCTCACTTCACTAATCCACTTAATTTTAATTCAGAACAGCTACTAAATTTTCTCAAATGACTTTTGGGCATAGGTTCCCTTCTTTAAATAATTCCCTTCTTAATTCATGTAATGAATTACATTGATAGATTTCCTTGTTAGACTAGCTTTTTCAGGTTGTATTTCCTCTTGATAGACTACTGAATTTTATTTGCTTATACATAGGTCATTTACATTTATATTCATAAGTGAGAAGTCTATAGTTTTCTTGCACAATCTTATCAAATTTTTGCTGAAGGGGAAGATGAAATCAAGAGAGAATTTTTTTAATAGAGATTTTTAAAAATGCTTATTGCTGTTAAAACAGAAAATGGAACATGTTTAAATGCTGATAGAAAGGATCCAATAAAGAACTTGAAGATAAAGGAGGGAAAGTATAATTGATAGTATGAAATTTCAAAGAAGGTGAAAAGATCCAGAGAACAAACAGACGGGTTAGAAAAGAGATACTTGGGATACCTAGCACTTTGGGAGGCCAAGGCAAGAGGATTGCTTGAGGCCAGGAGTTGGAGACCAGCCTGAGTAAGTGCGAGATCTTGTCTCTACTCAAAATAGAAAAATTAGCCAGGTGCAGTGGTACATGCCTGTAGTCCCAGCTACTTGGGAAATTGAGGCAGGAGAATCACTTGAGCCCAGGAATTTTAGGTTGCAGTGAGCTATGATGACGCCACTGCATCTAGCCTGGGAGACAGAGAAAGACCCTTTCTCAAAAAGAAAAAGAAAAAAAAAAAAGCAAGAAAGAAATAGAAAAAAGAAAAGAGATACTTGAACTATGACCAAATGGAATGAATTCAGATCACATAGATCTAGAAGTTTAGTGGCTAAAATTATTTAAGGGCATTCCCATCTAATGACTTCTATTTTTCTCTACTGTAACACCATTTATGCTCACAGATGTTTTTGTTTACTTATTTATGAGTTTATGCATAGCTTTTTAAAGAGAAAATGTTGCCAGTAATTGAGATATTTCTTCATGTTATATGTATATGTATTTTTCAAGACATTTATAAAATTCTACAAGGACATAAAAAAATTTCATCTTCCTCTTCCAGCACTTAATCTCACAAGCAAACAGAAATTCACAAAGCCTTAATACAAAATCAGACACAAAATTGTGTTGTCATAGAAAGTGATGAATTAAGTAGAAATTTTATTTCCAAGCTCTTCAAAGATTATGACTAGCACAAATAATGTATCCCTCTAAAAGTGTTCCAATTAAATCAAAGGCACATCATCAAAGTAAAACACTTATGACATTATGAATTCTTTTAGGTTGTAATATTTTCACATTATGTTGTTTTTAACCATTTACAAGGTTCAGTAGGTCACATTTTAAATGTTTTTAAAGACATGAAACAATGTAGTATTCTTTTTTTTTTACATACAACTACAAAGTAGAGGAACATTAAGAATACAAAGACTGATTCTCCTTCATATACATGATGGGGCAACCTAAAACACAACATAACTTTAATCTTTCCAGACAGGTTTGCTAAGAAATAGCTCTCATGTTTAGTGTTAAAAATAAAACAATCTTCTCATTTAGAAAAATCAAGACATCATTTGATTAGTAAAGCCTATTCTTCTACCCCAATTTTTACTTGTTTGTTTTCATTTAGAAATTATAAATTCATGAGAAAAGAACAAATTTTGTTATGATATAAAAATCTTTGTCAGAAAAACAATTACAAATATTCAATTTTTTTAACAAATGAAAATGTTTTCCTTCCTAAAATGTAAACATCCAGTAAATAAAATATACATGATATTCCAGGTATAGAAACACCAGAAATTCACTTATGAAAGACATGCATTTTGGTATATTTCATGGTAAGGTTTTTGTCTTAAGTATAAAGCACTTCACCAAAAAAAAAAAAACCAACCCATTATTATTTAAAACTCTACTCCTTAACTCAGTTTCCTTATTTTAGAGAAACTCATCAATTCCTGTAGAATTTTGGCTATAGGAAAGGACTAAAATATTTAAAAGTCATTTGGCTAGGGAAAAGTGTTTTCTTGAGACTTGGAGGCAGTCATTCATCACTTTGTACTTGAAGGCATTCCTCAGAGAACTTCTTCCCTACTGGAAAGAGAGTTTGGTTAGTTTTCACTTTAGTAAGATTTATTCATAAAATTAACTAGTCATCATTTCATAGAGCACTTTAATATTTGTAAAGTTGAAAGTAACAGGTTAATACCAAAAATATCCAAACCACACCACTGAATGAGTAGCACCCATGAAAGTGTGTTGTAAAAAGAAAAATGCTATGACAACATAAGACCATTATTTTAATACCATAAATGTGAACATTTCCCATTAAAAGGTACAACAGTACCTGATAGATTACTTCCTTCTTTTATTTATTTATTTTTTAATTTCAGAACATTGCAGGAGTACAAATGATTTGGTTGCATAATTTGCTTTTGTACAATTTGAGTTGAAGTTATGAGTGGGTCCATCACCCAGATAGTGTGCATTGTACCTGTTAGGTGTGAATTTACCCATCCTTCCCTCCCCCTTACACCTCATTTCCATTAAGTTTTACTTCCATATGTGCATGGAAGTGTTGATCCATGAGTTCCAATTTAGTAGTGAATATATGTGGTGTTTGTTTTCCATTCTTGCAATACTTCACTTAGAAGAATGGTCTCCAGTTCTATCCAGGTTGTTACAAAAGGTATCAGTTCACCATTTTACATCCTTCTTTTAAATGTGAGCAATTTCCTTTTGCAATTATGTGAAAAAGGATCTAAGATAATTACTGTATAAACACCACTTAGAACACACAATTTGAAAAACGTTGATCCAAAAGACTCTAATAATGTAATGCCCTTGTCCTCTTAAAAAATAAAATAATGAAAATGTGAAAAAGACCCCAATACAAAGTATTCAAACCCATGAAATTTCTAATATGCCACCAGAGAGGTATTTTCATTTTAGTTATCAATTTTTAAAGCCCTTTTAACCCTACTCAAACTTTTGCTGAGAAGCTACATTTCTTCCTCCATTAAAACATTAAAACACAGAGATATATTCTGAAAGCCTTTAGAAAAGAAATCACAGCTGGTGGTAGGCACAAGTCTCCTCCTCTCAGGAGTCCTTAGTCCCAAGAATAGCAATTTAGTTGACAGCATCTAGTAGCAAATCACAACCCTGGGATAGTGTAAGGACAGAGGGTGGGAAGGTCAAGAATTACCACCAGCCAAGTCAATTCAGGAGATCAAGTACATATAGGTATTAGCATCTCATGAGTTAGTATCAAAGAGAATTAAGACTCTCCTAATTAGATGTATTCTACAAGCAGGGTAACTATACACTAGAATCGCCCTTCAGGGAAAGTTGTGCATTTTGCTGGTTTTTTATTTTAATCCCCTCAATAGCAGATATTCAAAACTCAGTTGCCCAGAGCCTTTGGCAAGCCCTGTGATAATGCCATGGCCCCAGACATCACAGTGTGCCGTTACTCACGAGTCTTCAGAGTAAAGCACAGGATCTGGGCTCCCGGAAGGGGTTGCTTCCAGCTGGAACGCCAACCAGCAGGGCGTCCTTGCAGGCGTTCTGCATGCAGTACTGCTGCAGCTCTGCAGCCGCCTGAGAAACCTGAAACAAAGGGATGGCAACATGGCACAACACTAGCAGCCAGCGCCATTCGGCAGCCTGATATTCTGAAAATGATCGTACGACCTGGTAACGTCAACTTTTTGTGACCTCTAAAAGTCTCTTTTTTTCTGAAAAGTTCTAATAATTGAACTTCAAAGAGGAAAGGTTACAATTTCTATGAACTTTGATTTAGGATATATTTGCTTCAGTTTCTTATTCAACAAAGAATCCTACTTTTGAGACTGAATTAGTAAAGAAATAGCTCATTCTGGTGTTCCCTTTTCAAATGTTAATTTATATAAGACTTGCATTGGTATATCCAAGTTTGCCAAGTAAGCAAATTGTTTTAATGTTTACAAGGCTGGAGTCTTATTCAGTCTGCTCCAAACATGTGGTAAAGTTCTTTCCCCATGCTTTTGAGGAAGTATAGCTTATTGGTTAAGAGTGCAGTCCCTGAAACAACACTGTCTTACTCAAATTCATCTGTCACTTACCTATATGACCTTGGGTAAGTTACATAACTTCTCAGTCCCTGTTTTCTCATCTGTCAAATATTTAGAAATAGCACCCACCTCATTGGGTCGATATAACAATTGAGTTAACAAATGTTAAGCACTTAGAATAGTGCTGACATACAGCAATATATTGTTGCACATTATAAACATGGTCACAATACTTTACAGCTCCTTCCACCAAGAGGTAGGGTCTATTTACCCACCCCAGGAATCTGGGCTGGCCTTGTGACTTGTTTTGACCAATAGAATGTGGCAGAAATAATGGGCAAGTTCCAAGCTAGCCCTGAAGAGTCTTTGTAGCTACTTCTTTTGCTGCAGTTGGAGCCCTAAGACTACCATCTATATGGGCCCAAGTTAGCCTACTGGAGGTCTTATGGAGGAGAATCAGTAAGCGAGCCCCAGCCACCTGCCTATCTGCCTCCAGACATGTGAGTGAGGCCATCCTAAGTCATCCAGACACCAGCCAACCCTCCGCCTGATTGCAGATACATGGGAGAGCCCAGTACAGTTGAACCTAGCTCAAATTGTCAGCCTAGGAACGAACTGTGAGTTAAATGTTTTAAACTATATGCTCTGTAGTGGTTTGTTAGGCAACAAAAACTTATACAATATTATTATGCCTTTTACTCTTATCCTGCTTTTGATACATATTTCTATTTGGAGGCTTTCCTTTCCTCACTGTACTTTTTTTTTTTTTTTTGCATTGAAAAGGTGTTCTGTGTGAAACTCACCCATATTGTACAAAAATAGCAGATCATGTACAGATCATGGTTCTGATCGCTATTCAAGTATTACTGCTAGGCTGTGTTAATTTCCTAAGCCCCCATATAACTGGAAAATTAACTGTTTATGTTATGATTGCTACCAAGTTTCTGGAATGCTTTAGGAATTTTGGTTGTATTGATGTATTATAATAATAGTTTATATTATATAAATATAAACATATAATAGTATCAGACTAATGTTTAAGCTTACTTTTCTCTCAATAGAAGCTCTGACATTTTCACATTAATTATAACTGGAATTAATGGTTTATATATAACAGTTATTGACTCAAAAGAAATTTAGAACCAATTACAGTCATGCCTTCTATCTTTGCATCAGAGGAACAGGTGAACTCCACACATGGTAGGTGGAAGGACACTATGTCCCAGGACCCCTGGAGAAGTGGCACTGACTGGACTCTAGCCTAAAGAACATGGTCAAAATATTAAGGTAAGGAGATACACAGAGCACACAGGAGAAGAGTAAAAGGGGTCAGCATCTCTCTAACATTATCAAAGGAGAGAGTCTTCACTGCTGGAGAATAAAAGCCCAAATGCTCATAAGCTTTCCCCTGCCATTGGAGGTGGGATAATCCCCACCCAGTTTACCTGACTTTCCTTGGTCTGAGCCCATGTTAAGCCTGTAACTTCTGAAAGGAGTCCTGGGAAGGATGTCAAGCATTCCAGTCACTGGGAAAGGATATCCTCTATTATATGCTAGAGTATTAGTATCCTGGTTTATTTACCAAATAGCAAGTCTGTCAAAGACATGACATCTCTGAGTATACTAAGAACATCCAACACTGAGCCCTGAAATGAGACAGATCAGACCTGGAATGTGACTCCTTAAGGTGTTGCCAGAGAGAAGAGAAACCCTGCCAAGCACCCTAGATCAGACTTCTATGAGTATATCCCTTTAGTAAACTTATTATCTTATTATTAAATAAACTAACTGTGCCCTTGAGCAATTCACTTGAATTCCCTGGCTCTCAGCTTCATTGCCCCTATTTTTTTTTTTTTTTTTTTTTTGAGATGGGGTTTCACTATGTTGTCCAGGCCAGCCTCAACTCCTGGGCTCAAGGGATTCCCTGGCTTCAGCCTCCCAAGTAGCTGAGAGTACAGGCACACCACTGGGCCCAGCCTCCCCAATACTTTGCAGGGTAGGTGGGCATTAGACTCACAGTTTCCCTTCCCACCGTGGGTCCCATCATCTTGAACATTTTCAACAACAACAGTTTCAGTTCCCTGACTTCCTCCCTTCAAACAACCGTCTCCTAAAGACTAACAGATACAGTTACAACACCTGTGACTGCTCCACTTCTGAAATTTTACACTCCAATATCCTACTCTTTGATCACAATCTCTCCTGCCCATCCAGTGTGCTTCCTTTATTCTCCTCCCTTTCTGTCCTGCCCATCACCAGGGGCTGGCTCTGTTCCTTCTCTAGCCAGCTTAGGTTCAGCCTCTTTCTGCCCAGACCTTCAAACTCCTTGCCCTCTGGCCCCACTGCCACTTTTCTGGCATACCTCCCCTGCTAACCCACTAGCCAATCACCTACCACTCACCGTCAGCACTCAGATCCCTGACTGGTCAGATGCTGCTGGAGGAAAACAAAAATCACAAGTAGGACAAGCGGTCTCCAACCTCACAGTCACTGGGTCTTCAGGGGCAGAGTTTACCCCAGATGTGACTGCTCAGAGTCCACTTCCATTCCCAACAGCACTCTCCTGGCTTTCCACCCCTACAACTGCATTAGTCTCCTTTTCCTCTGGCCTCTTATTTCGCAAAGAAAATTGTCGTCATACCAGTCCTTTAGCTCATACCTAGAAACATCTCCCTTTACCCCTATCCTCACCTCCTTTCTGTGTGTCTCAGAAGCTGCGCCAACAATCCATGCCCCCCATGGACCTGGTCTCCTCTACCTGTAATTCTCCTTCTCCATTAGTGTCTTCTCTTTAACCTAAAAATAGTTTGTTCCTTCCTCTCAACCCTGAAATATGGCTTTCCATTTCCGAAAATTAAAAAAAAAAATTATTTCTTCTTTAAAAACTAGATTTCCTTCCAAAAAAGTCTGCCTACACTCTTACAATCCAGATTCCGCTTCTACTCCTACATATGTCACTGCAACCTCTCTGCATTTCATAGCCCTCTCTCTACCTTTTTCATAATCTTCATTCCAGTTACTATGTGAAATTATTTTATTTATTGGTTAGTTTATTGATTGTTAATCATCCCCACTAGAATCGCCCTATTCGCTGAACAGTGTCAGGCAGAGAGAAAGGCCCTGCTGTCACAGTAGGGTCCGTTCACACATACGTGCATACATTTCACGAATGATGAAATGTACATACATTTCACGAGTTGCTAAACACAATTATGCAACAGATGCTTCTTAGTCAACTGCACAGTGGACATGTTGACTCAGCCTCCTATTTTTGATACTCTCTTCTTCCTTGCTTCAGTTCCCCGCTTTCTCTCGCCCCCTCTCCTTTCAGCCATCTATTCTGGCTGTTCCCTGGGTCCCAGGCTCTGAGCTCTGTCTTGACATGATGCACTCGTTTGACTTCCATGCGTTTGAATGACCTCTTTGTGCCTTGCGCTCTGAGCTTCAGTCCACACAGCCCAATACTCCCTGCACTGCTCCTCCAAGTCCGCACACCCAAAACCGAACTCATCATCTCCCCCCAAGCCGGCTCTCCCTCCCCTCTACTTAGCGGGTGGCAGCGCCCTCCATCCTGTCACCACTCCAGAAACCTGAGCATCCTCTTTCTCCTCCCTCTCGCTCTCCGCCTATCAATCCGCCACCAAGTCGCGTCAGTGCACGGCCTCGCCGTCTCCACACTCCATCCTCCAGCACCGGCCGCGACCAGGCCGCCAGCGTGTCGCCGGCACCGCGGGCCCGTCCGAGTCATGCCCACGCGTAAGAACTAGGGGGGCTTGCGGAGGGGCACGCCCCCGGGCACTGGGTCCCGGACCCCGGCTGGGGGACAGGCCCGCCTCGCGGGGCCCAGCAGGCCCGGCCGCCTCTGTCGGGCGCCGGGTCCCGGCTCGGTGCCGAGCGCGCTCCCCGCGCACCGAGGCCTCCGGGCGGCCCGCCGCGGCCCCGGGCTGGGCCGGGTGAGCAGGCGTTTCCGCGCGGGCCGCGGCCTCCTCCCGCACGGCCCTCGGGCGGGGCGCCGGCGGAGCGCGCTTCCCGGCGGGCGCTCACCTTGATGCGCTCCACGCCGGCCTCCAGCTTGAGCTGCTCCACCAGGCGCTGCAGGGCGCTCGCGCTGGCGCCGGAGGACATGGCGGCGGCGCTGGGCTCCGAGGGCGGCCGGGCCGGGCGACTCAGTGCGGGCGCCGCCCCGGGGCGGGGAAGCAGCTGCGCCCGCCCCGCCGCACGAGCCCGCCCGGGCCGCAGCCCCCAGTGGCCGCGCCGGACCCCGCGCTGAGTGGCCGCGCTGTCAACTCTTCCTGCAGTCTGGACCTCGAGGACAGCTGCACCTGTTCCTGGAAACCGAGACCCGGGCCCACAGGGTCTCCGCCTGCGGCACCGGGCCTCCTAGGACGAGCAGGAGTTTGACTCGGGTGTGGGGTGCTGGTGCGGGGATGGGGTAGGCAAGCAGCAAAGACGCATTCCTGATACTTCAGAAAACTAGGATTCCGGCGGCTGGAGCCAAGGTGTGAAGTGAGTTGGAGAAAAAGGGGGCCATGCAAAGACGGTATCCCGAGGGAAATGAAGGACAGTAGGAATGTAGGACTTCATGAAACAGTAACAGGTTTACAAGCGGGCCCTTTACTGTTTTATGGAGAGATCCTACCGGTTGATACGGTGGGGTAAGTAGGGTAAATTGGTAAAATCCTAGACCTTGACACCTTTGTGAAACATATAGAATAAAATTAAATTCAGCCTCTCACCCCCATCTCACCATAGATTCTGCTGCATTTTTTTAATGTGCACATTCATTTTACAAAACTAGGATCATTACTATACGTAAAATATTGTGGGTTTTTTTCACTTAACGGATCATGACTATGTCATTATTCTTGCACACCATCGTATTTGTCAGAACCCAGTTACATTGACTAAAGCAAAAAGGTAATATATTGGCTTGTGTAACTGGTAAGTCCAGGGATTTAAACTAGTGAATTACCCAAATAATAGCTTCAGGGCTCTCATTCTCTCCATCCTTTGGCTCTTTTTCTGAGCGTTGGCCTCATTTTCCTCAGTGGTAGACTGTCTCTAGCGCTGTGAAGGAAAGCTCCATGCTTTCACAGGCCCAGCGTAGCAAACGGAGGAGTAAGAGTACCTCTTTTCTAACTGTTCCAGCAAAAACCCCCACATCAGATTTCACTGGCCTTGCTTTGAGTCAGGGACCCACACCTGGACCAGTCACTATTAAAGGCAAGAATGTGTAGCCTTGGGATGCTCAGATCAGCTGTGCCTGGGCCAAGAACAGGATGAGCAGGATGAACTGCCAAGAGCAGTTCAGCCCCACCTCTAGCGGGTGCTGAGGTGCACCACCCGAATTCCCCATTCAGGACTGAGGCACTCATTCCCCCAGCTGCTCAGTGGTGGCAGCTGATGCCTCTCAGCTAAGTCATCTCTGTGGTGGTAGTTAGCCAAAGAGCCACCCAGACCAAGGTCACACTCCTTCCAGTGTCAGCCCTCATCCAATGATTGGTGTGTGTGAGTGTGTATAAAAGGGCTGAACCCCAAAACCCTTGCCTCAAGTTGAGATGGCATTGAAGTATGGTTCCTGCTCCAAAGCTCCTGCTAGAATCATCGGAGGTATTTATGGCAACTGCATCACAGCTCAACTCCTTCCTCTGCCCAGTTCCCACCCCCGGGACTCCCCCACAAGTGTTGATTTTAAGGATACTCCCCAATAAACTTTCTGCATGAAAATTTCCATCTCAGGGTCTGTTTCTCTGGGGAACCCAAACTAAGACACCCATCCAAACATGGACTGAGGAGGAAAGAATAGTTCCTCCTCAAAGAATCAGGAGGCTGGTAGCAGAAAGGGGGCAAGGGCCACACCCTGAGCTATTATTTTTAATGACTACATGGTATTCCATTGTATAACTGGATCATGACTTATTTACCTACTACTCTATTTTATAACACCATGATGACCACCTTAAACATAGTTTTGTGCATATATTTCTTTAGGGTGCATTCCTGAAAGTGGAATTGATGGATCACAGAATATTACTAATACATTTTTAAAACTTCTTCGTACTTTACCCTCCAGAAGGCATTATCAATTGATTTGCCCACTGGAAGGCTACAAGATTGCTTATTTCTGTGTACCCTCACAACTCCATATTAATCTTACCAATCTAATAGATGAAAAATGGTATCTCAAGTCTTATAAATGTCTTAACTGTTCAGGTTGAACATTTCCTCTATCAATTTTGTGAGCTATGAGTCCATGGTTTCTGGGGTATTAAAAAGCTCTTCTTATCTAGTGACCAGGGCAGACCTGCACATTTGAAAGCCCTCTCTAGTGGCAAGTTTCCTCACCACAAAGTATTAAATGTATTAAAATATCAATACATTCTAGTAAAGATATGAAAGTACATGTGGGAAACATTACTAGATTGAGGAATAGGGCAGGAAGAATGGTTGTGTGTTAAAAGGCTAAGGCAAGGAACTCAGTGCCAAGTTACAAACTGGAAGGATGAGGAAAGCCTCCTCATAGATGGTGAGAACTGGACCTTCAAAATATGTCTTACAGATGGCCCAGAGGAAAAGGAAGAACATTCCAATACAGAGGAGAGCAACAGGCAAGGCACACACAGAGTGAATAAATTTAAGAATAAATAATAGAAGTAATAAAACTCCAGTAAATAATAGAAGATATAAAACTGCTAAGGCCAGAAGTCATGGAAAACGCCACCCCCCGACACACCAAAAAAAAAAACCGTTTGTGTAGCCGGGCACGGTGGCTCACGCCTGTAATCCTAGCTCTCTGGGAGGCTGAGGCGGGCGGATTGCTCGAGGTCAGGAGTTCGAAACCAGCCTGAGCAAGAGTGAGACCCCGTCTCTACTATAAATAGAAAGAAATTAATTGGCCAACTAATATATATACAAAAAATTAGCCGGGCATGGTGGCGAATGCCTGTAGTCCCAGCTACTTGGGAGGCTGAGGCAGGAGGATCGCTTGAGCCCAGGAGTTTGAGGTTGCTGTGAGCTATGATGATGCAATTGCACTCTACCCGGTGCAAGACTCTGTCTCAAAAAAAAAAAAAAAAAACCGTTTGTGACAAACAGTGAGATAGCCATGTGGTAAGGCATTTTAGGAGTATTGATCTGGGATGAATGTGCAAAATGAAGTTGGGAAGGCAAGATGATGAGTTGTCTTTCTTGTCGGGAGTGGCTGGAATGAGGCCCTGGGTGGGACTGTGAGGATGGGAAGGAGGGGAATGAATTCAAAACACTAAATCAGCAGTATTTCATGGTGGTTATGAAAGAAAAAGGAAAGAGGACAAAGGGTTCTGAAGCAGAGAGTAGATCAGAACTGCTGCCAAAACAGAAATTAGGAAATAAGACTGAGCTTGAAATGAGGAGTAAAAAATAATGTTGACTTTGGTTTAGGAGAAACTAAGTGCCTTCAATGGTACTGCTTGCTATATGAGTGTCCTCTAGGCTGTTGAAAATGTTTAATGTGAGAGAAATTTGAATAGTAATGACAGGTGAAATAATGAGATTACCTTGAAAACATTAAAAATGAAGTCTCTGTGAGAAACATAGCAAGACCCCATTGCTACAAAAAATAGAAAAATTAGCCAGGTGTGGTAGTGTGTGCCTATAGTCTCAGCTACTTTGGAGGCTGAGGCAGGAGGATCTCTTGAGCCCAGGGGTTTGAGGTTACAGTCAGCTATGACGACACCACTGCACTCTTACCTGGGCAACAGAGTTAAGACCCTGTCTCCAAAAAAAAAAAAAAAAAAAAAAAAACAAGGCTCTGAAGTTGCCCACAGTGATACATAATACCTGTGTGTCAGCAATGAGGTAAAAGAAAAAGCCCAGGTTGTGCCTGTCTCCCTCCGTGCCTGTACACACTCAGGCATGCCCCTGCCACCCCCATGTTTTTTGTGCTATTCTTTAAGAGGAATGGTCTGGCTTTGAAAGAAACAGCCAGGTTTTAGCACACAGCCCCCTAGAGTGATCCATGCTGGGTGTCACTTGTACTTGATAAGGGCTGACCACCTCCATGATGCTTTAGACTTTCCCAAAATGTCTTCTCATCCATTACTTTTGCATCATGGAACTTAAGAGTTAAAAGGAACCATCAGACAGTATGGTCCACCTACAACTTTAGAGATAGGGAAACAGACCCACTAAGGAAAGTGAAGTGACTTGCCTAGTATCACAGAAATTGGCAGCAGGTAAAAGAACTTTCCTTTTAGCTTTCAAGAGAAGTCACTGCTCACCTGGAGGACCAGAGGCCCTTCCCACATGTGCAGTTAATTCCAGAGCTCTGAAAGGGGACCAGGTATGGAGACAAAGAGGATTCTTTCCTCTTTGCCACAGCTAAAATGTCACCAGTATATTATTTCTACAATTTTGTTACATATTTTTTCCTTGGCTAAGCTAAAAACATAAATCTCCAGTTTCCAAGAACTTCAGTACTTTTTAGAAATGTCAATGTTCTTGTAAAGACCAACATTTAATTTTTTCCTGTTATGATCTACAATTTTTCACTCCTCTGACTTGTATTTTGTCACCTAACAGTAGATTATTTTTCCAGGAAATGGGCTGTGAATCACTCTTCTCCAAAAGATGATATAATGGGAAGGTATTTCTTTCTGCCAATGTTATATCAAAATGACAATATATACATACCTTCTGTAGTTTTCTAAAATGATTAATAAGAAACAGGAAAAGATATTAACAACTACATTTAAGGTGACAGTATAATGTACCATAAAAAAATTATTTTACTTCCTATTGCATTATTTTTAGAACTTAGAATAATGAATCTCAGGAGCTAAAAGAATCACCAGCAAGTTTGTAGATTCAGAATGGCTTCTCTGGAGAGGTTTTCACAGGCATTTTTGAGACTTTGTGAGAATTTAGGGCTACTAGATGTCTTTTGGAGCAATTGTTCTAATCATATCTGTTTGCTACTCTTCTTCTCAATGCAAGGGTCCCTTCAGTAAATGTAGGCTTTAGACTAGCAAGTTGCTGATCATTCTGTCAACTGTGAAACTTTTTCTTTCTTTCCTGAGTTGTCATCTCAGTTGCTTCACCTTGCACCCCAATGGCAACAAAGGTAAGCAGCTACTTTTAAAATACACAATTCCATCCAGACATGGTGACTCATGCCTGTAATCCCAGCATTTTGGGAGGCTGAGGTAGGAGGATTGTTTGAGGCCAGGAGTTTGAAAGCAGCCTGAACAAGAGCAAGATCCCATCTGAACTAACAATAAAGTAAAAACTTAGCCAGGCATGGTGGTGTGCACCTGTAGGTGGCCAGGCAGGAAGCTGAAGCAGGAGAATCACTTGAGCCCAGGAGTTTGATGTTGCAGTGAGCTATGATGATGCAATTGCACTCTACCCGGTGCAAGACTCTGTCTCAAAAAAAAAAAAAAAAAGAATATGAAATATGTACAACTATATATTTTTTTTTCTTTTCTTGAGACAGAGTCTGGCTCTGTTGCCCAGGCTAGAGTGCCGTGGCATCAGCCTAGCTCACAGTAACCTCAAACTCCTGGGCTCAAGCGATCCTTCTGTCTCAGCCTCCTGAGTAGCTGAGACTACAGGCATGCGCCACCATGCCCGGCTAACTTTTTCTATATACTTTCAGTTGGCCAATTAATTTCTATTTTTTTTTAGTAGAAACAGGGTCTCGCTCTTGCTCAGGCTGGTTTCGAACTCCTGACCTAGAGGGACCCACCCACCTCAGCTTCCCAGAGTGTAAGGATTACAGGCGTGAGCCACCGTGCCCAGCCAATATGTACAACTATTATATGTCCATAAAAAAAATTAAAAAGCTGATTGAGTTTACAACTAATTATGTAGGCTTTTTATAATATTTAAGTACTCATAACATTTCTCAATTGCAGGCAATCTAATCTACTTTAGACCTTAAACCTATGTGAATTAGACAGGTTTAGATTATAGAATTTTTTTTTTTTGAGACAGAGTGTCACTTTGTTGCCCAGGTTAAAGTGAGTGCTGTGGCGTCAGCCTAGCTCACAGCAACCTCAAACTTCTGGGCTCAAGCGATCCTCCTGCCTCAGCCTCCAGAGTAGCTGGGACTACAGGCATGCACCACCATGCCTGGCTAATTTTTTCTAGATATATTAGTTGGCCAATTAATTTCTTTCTATTTATAGTAGAGACGGGGTCTTGCTCTTGCTCAGGCTGGTTTCGAACTCCTGAACTTAAGCAATCAGGAACGCCTCAGCCTTCCAGAGAGCTAGGATTACAGGCGTGAGCTACCGCGCCCAGCCTAGATTATAGAATTTTAATTTTAAATCTTGACTATCTAAAATGAACCACTAATTTCACAGATGAGGAAACTAGAAAGGTTAGTAATTTATCTAGCAAATTTAATTTAGTTGTTAAGTTCTACATTTGGCCTTCACTCATATTTAAATGGAAAATGTATCACATTTACAAATAAGATTAATTATAATTTATCTATATACAACTGCTTTGTATCAATTCCAACATTTATCTGCCTCAAATATCTATTTGTAACTTAACAGAGACCATGTTTGATTTAATGTCTTAAAGTAGCTACATCTTATTTATATTAATGCTAATGTCTAATAAAAGGCATTTCTAATTTCCCCAGAACAGCAATTACAACACTAGCTGAGTGTTAGCTGAACAACTGGCTTCTACTCAAGCAAAACATTTCCAAAGTTTGGGTATTAAAAGTTCACTGCCCCTTCGGGCTAAAAACAAAAAAAAAAAAAGCACAACCACCTCAAAGGATGTGAATTATGATTTTCTAAACATAAATTCAATAGTACTAAAATAGTTAATTCTCTAAACTATTTTTTCATGTAACATTCTTAATAATTGTATATCCCAATGGTAGCACTTAAGATTCCAGGCGTGGTATCTATCTAATAGATGTATTATGAAACTATAACATATGGTTTGTAGAACTTAGGAGAATTCATTAAGAAATAAGACCAATGAGGAAACAGTTAGTAGTGGACTCCGAGAGTACTTGATGTGAATATAACCGAAAGAGTAATTTTAGCAGACTTAAATTATATGATGATGAATAGACAGCAATGAATAGCTGTGCTCTATAAACTCCAAATACCAACCACAGCACCTTTGAAAGGCATTTATTTATGGTTAACATTTGGATAGTTGATGTTTAAAACATAGCTACCTATAATTTAACTCTGTACTTTCTCCACACTCCTAAAAAGAAGGGATGCAAGAAACACTTCGTCTAATGTTTACAAAAATATAAAATATCATTTCAGGCCAAGTTCACGCCTATAATCCTAGCACTCTGGGAGGCCGAGGCAAGTGGATAGTTTGAGCTCAGGAGTTCAAGATCAGCCTGAGCAAGAGCCAGACCCCATCTCTACTAAAAATAGACAGAAATTAGCTGGACAACTAAAAACATATAGAAAAAATTAGCCAGGCATGGTGGCGCATGCCTGCAGTCCCAGCTATTTGGGAGGCTGAGGCAGAAGGATCCCTTGAGCCCAGGAGTTTGAGGTTGCTGTGAGCTAGGCTGAAGCCACAGCACTCTAGCCCAGGCAACAGAGAGAGACTCTGTCTCAAAAAAATAAATAAATAATAAAATGTCATTTCAGAATTTTAGAGTTGCAAAAGGGCCCTATGATAATCTGGTCATATTCCTCCCCAATTTTATAATTGGGATAACTGAAGCCTTCATTCACAGATTAAATAACTAGCTTCAAGTCTTTGGCTATATTAGCAAAGCCAGAATTCTGCCCTCCTGCCTCCTGGCATACGTCTCATATTTGGGCTGAGCTCTTAAAAGGACTAGCTTATTTTAGCTAGAAACAGATTCTGCATATCTACTACGATATACTAATCTTTGGAAAGTATATGATACAAAAGCAGTGTGTTAATTTTTAACATGTCATACCAACAAACTTATGATATATTGCAACCACTTTATTAATATCAAACAATGGGATAAATCCTTTAACAGGAGTATTGATTCACTACTATGAATGTGTACTGATACTCTGGTGTAGTATCATGCTTGATTCAGCCAAATTATGTGTCATTTACTTTCACTTCCACACATATAAAAACATTTATATTTCATTAGTTGATAGAACAGCACATAGCCATGTACCTCTTCTTTCTGGTTTAAGTGCATGTAAATACTCTCAGGTACAATGGATTTTTCACCAGTCAAAGACTTCATAATATATGAACAGCTTTTCAGTACACTATCTATGCCCTGTCACTTTTTTTTTTAAACTGAAGAGGAAAAGAAAAAGAGCAATCCTGTGGTACAAAAGACCTTTTCACAGGGTCCTTCCTGGAGAAACGTTTGTCTGAGAATATAGTCCTACAATGAGACTGTAAGCAAGATCATCCTACAAGGACGTGGGGGTAGACTCACTCTCCTGGAGAGTTTCTGATCTTATCAAGAAAATTATGACAGGGTAAAGGGTATATAATAAAGACAGTTTAGGAGAAGCCTCTCCTAGAGAGGTTATTTTGAACATATTTCAATCCTATAATGATTGTAATGAAGACAATGTGATAGCTGAATCAGTCTGCTGAAGAAGTTTGCATCTAGAAAGACACTCATGATAATGTCATTAAATGCTACTAAATTTTTTTAAATTTTGTGAAAATATAGAGGCCGGGAAAGCAGAAAAATGTAGCACTAGAACAAAGAATAAGGAAACACTCTTAAAGAATAAACACTGAACACACAAAAATTTTAAATGGTATCTAATAAATTTTCATGTCAAATCTTTTAACTAAACATATAAAATTTTTAAATGGCAACTAATAAATCTCCACATGAAATTTTTTAACAAAATCCACAGATTATAAAAATTGAATAATCATAAATGTCTTATGTATAAAGTTTTAAGGGAAAAATTTAAATTTCTACATTATTCTCTTCAATCAAACACTTGAGGAATTTTAGTTACTGCTGAGGAGCAGTCACTTGATACATTTCTAAAATAATTCAGTTATGAAAATAAAATCATGATTCAGGTTTGGCATATTAGCACTCCACCAATCTTTAGTCATCCACAAATGTTAACCGTCCAGGCCCTTCATTCTTCATCCATCTCCTATACCTCTTCCATCTAGGGTCATTTGCCAATTTCTTCTTTAATTCTTCCTCTTGCTCTTGTTTGTAGACCTAAAAGTATAAATAACACTAAATGACTTTACAATCCAAAGAGAAACATTTGCCATAAGCTTTATGGCATATTTACATTTTTCAAATATAACTGAGGTAAAAGTTTCCAGTGAATGTACTGGTTTGTCTTCTGAAAACCATTCATCTAAAAATACTAATAAGCAATTAATCATTTTAACATTCAGTGTTAAAAAAGAACAACCTTTACAACAAGAACTAGTAATTTTTTGTCACTGATTTCTGGAACCTAGGAATACATTCTTCTCCTCATTGAAATCAAATATAAGCTGAGTTTAATGGTCTTAAGATTTCCTTTCTACAATTTATGTCCAATATTAAAGAATCAATACTGTATTTGTAAAATTTAACTGATGACTTTCAGATTTGTTGATCTTAACCAAGGAACAAAATGACCTTACATATATGTTTGTCTCCAAACTAAACTGATATCTATTTTTATCTTCAAAGATAATTATTGGTTTTTCAAAATATTTTTTATTAAAGTTTCCAAAGAAGTCTAAATACACCATAGAGTTAAAACCTATGAAAACACAGAGAACAAAAAATATCTGCATTTCTGGAACTTTTAGTGGATGTCAACTGAAACAAAATGGACAAGTTGTCATAGCCAGTTTCATAGCCACATTAAGTTGTAGAAAGAAATGATTTTACTTCTAAATATCAGGAAGTAATGACTAAGATAACATACTATAATTCACCCCAGAATAGCACTTTAAGAAAGACACAGATTTCTGATTGGGCTGCTTAACCTACTTAAAAGAGAAAACTTTTCAAATAATTTATAGGAGCTAACTAGTCTGTTGCCTTCCATTTTTATTTTCTTTATAAACAGGATGAATACACAGGTAACTACTTGGCAAAACATCTGGCAATTTGGAAGTTAAATTACTTAAATATTAATATAATTCAGACCAAAACTTTACTTTCAGTAAAATCTATTTAGGACATTACCTATAAAATGAATGACTATGAAACTAAAAAAACTAATGTATTTCAGATGTCTTAAGAGTTTCACTGTGCTCAATTCTTATAGTTACTATATTAACTAATCAATTTTACCCAGAATGCAAAACAATATCATTATGATGAGACTGCTAGTCCCTTTAGCACTGTGGCTAGGTAGCTGATCATCTCAAAGTAATTTTTGTAGCTGACGATTACAGAATAAAGCATTTATTACAATGCCCAAAAGTTTAGAGGCATTATAGTAAGTCAATTTAATTTAAAAGTAACTTTCCATATATGTATTATTATGTAGAAGATTCTGTGCTCAATTATTTTGAAATGAAGTTATTTCAACAAAATTTCCATTTCTTGTTCTCTGTTTTGGGGTTTTTTTTAAATCTCTGTAGTTAGGTTTACAAGACTGGAAGAAAACTTGGGGAAGACCACATTTTACTTAGAGCAATTAACAGAAAGCTGTTGTAACATCCTTGCAAACATACATATCATTCCATTACAGTTTAACACAACAAATTAGACCACTCTTAAAGCTTTTTCAGAATTAGTCAAAAAAGTATTTGAAGTTCATCTTTTAAAAAGAGAAATTACAGGTTAAAAACCTACTGTCCCGCTCTCAAATACAGTCATAATCTCAATAAAAGATCTTTATTCATTATTTAACTCTTAGATTTCAGAAATTTGAATATAATCCTGGGATCTCTTATCATATACTTAATTTTAACTTGGTCAGGAGAATGACATTAAAATCACAGCAGAGTGACTACTCACCTCGTAATTCTCCTTTATCCAGAGTTCCCGTTTAAGAAAAGTTTCTTTCTGATGATCTTCTAGACTATCAAATTGAGACTTTGACATCTTCATAGATTTACGTATGATATATAGTCTCTCTTCTTCTCCATATTCTTTGCCTTTGATGTTAAAATTATAGATCCATCGGCAATACCAGACTATATAAGAGCACAGGTGGAAAGGAGCTAAGATAATTTGAAACAGAAGAAGATCACATATTTGGGGTTTTTGATAGCCTCCCTTTATATCTATTTTACTTTTTATAATGTTCTTTATGATGTTCTCTTCCTCGTCACGAATTTCCTCTTTGGATTTTTTGTTTCTGCCTTTTTCTTTGGCTTTTTTGAGCAGCCCCTGCTGCCTGGCGATTTCTGTAGCTTGAATCCGGTACTTGGGTACTGTGGCTAGGTAGCTGATTGCCTTATTGTAGCTATTCCACCAACTGAAAAACTAGAATATTTGACAAAGAAAAATGAGTCATTTTTTTACCAAAATTAATAGATGATAGTGTCTTGGTAAATACCACGACCCAAGAAACCCATTATGATTAAAAATAGGGGTCTCAAAGATCTTATTTTGTAGCTAAAAGATGCAACTGAACAATGCCCACATGTACACAGGATTTCAAGGCTGGATAAATAAGGTAAACTCTGAGCTAAGCCAAAAAGCTATTTATCCACACAGGAGATAACCAAGATTAAAGGACTGACTGATGGGATCACAACACACCTGCGGTTTCCTATCTTTACCATTTAACTCTTCCCTAGATTATAGATCACTATGAAGAAACATTTTTTTTCTGTTTTTTTTTTTGTTGTTGTTGTTATTGTCGTTGTTGTTCTTAAACTGAAACCTGCTTACTAGAGGAAGAGTTAAATGGCAAAAACTAGCTGGTAAGGAATTTGTTTAAAAGAATTCACAGGGTATTATCAAGCAATTACATTCATTCATATTTTCCTAAACCATCCACATGTATCATAATAGCACTCCTCCTATTCTGATGAAAGATTCAAATATGTTTGAACTCTACCTGTTTAAACAGGAAAACATTAACATACTTCATAAATGTATTCAACCACAAAAGCTTTTATTGTCAGAAAAAGCCCTGCTCTTTACATGTATATACCTCCATACATTTCAGTTTCTGTTTTACTGAATGAATATAGCAGTTATACCAATAACATCCTGAAATATGATAATGGAATCTATTAAAAATAGCCAAAAAATAAGGTTACTATGGTATTAACATTATTTAAATTAAAAAAGTGAAATTATCCCTGTTCTCCCCTTTGAAAGAGTAATAATTCTACAAAACTTGACACATTAAAATACACCACTTCAGTTTTCAACAGGAATTCTTTTACCAATTAAACCAAAGAAGTAATTTTCAAACTAACAAATTGCTTCATTCTAGTCATTTGACTTGTTCTTTTCCACTAAAAGAACACATGATAGGCATGGTTATTTTAATAAGAGGGAAAAAAATTTCAGGCTGACGTTAAATTTTTGTGATATTGTAAACCATAAAATGTTACTGCACCTCTTTTTTTTTTTTTTGAGACAGAGTCTCACTTCATTGCCCAGGCTAGAGTGAGTGCTGTGGCATCAGCCTAGCTCACAGAAACCTCAAACTCCTGGGCTCAAGTGATCCTCCTGCCTCAGCCTCCCGAGTAGCTGGGACTACAGGCATGCGCCACCATGCCCAGCCAAATTCTTCTATATATTTTTAGTTGTCCGGCTAATTTCTTTCTATTTTTTTAGTGGAGACGGGGTCTCACCCTTGCTCAAGCTGGTCTCAATCTCCTGAGCTCAAATGACCCGCCTGCCTTGGCCTCCCAGAGTGCTAGGTTTACAGGCATGACCCACCACGCCTGGCCTACTGTACCTCTTTTAATCTATTTCAGCGTTTTCTTTTCTTTTCTTTTTTTTTTTTATTGTTTTAAAGGCAGGAGCTTGCGCTGTTGTCCAGGCTAAAGTGCTGTAGCATGATCATTGCTCACTACAACTCTGACTCCTGGGTTCAAAAGATTCTCTCATCTCTGCCTTCCAAGCAGCTAGGACTACAAGTATAAGCCACCACACCTGAGTAATTAAAAAAAATTTTTGTAGGGGTGGGGTCTCACTATGTTGCCCAAGCTGGTCTTAAACTCCCGACCTCAGGTGATCCTTCCACCTCAGCCTCCCAAAGTGTTGAGATTGATTATAGGCATAGCCACTGTGCCCAGCCTATTTCAGTGGTTTTCAACCTAAGCAAAAAGGCCCTTGGAGGTTACATAGGAATATGCGGGACATTTTTGGTTGTTACTGTGATGGCAAACACTACTGACATTTGGTGATGGAAGCCAGGACCTGTTAGGTCAAATTAAGGAGTTCAGATTTTCCCAAGTTTAATAAGAAATCAGTGAAAAGTTCTACAAAGGTAAATGATACGATCTACTTGACATTTACTCTGGCTATTACATGGAAAATACTCCAAAGGGAGCAAAGAGAAAATATCTGGATTTTTTAAGGGTTGAAGTACTTTCCTTTTTTTTGAGACAGGGCCTCTGATCCCTGGGCTAGAGTGCAGTGGCATCATCATAGCTTACTGCAACCTCAAACTCCTGGGCTCAAGTGATACCCCTAACTTCAGTCTCCCAAGTAGGTGGAACTATAAGCATACACCACCACAGCTGGCTAATTTTTTCTATTTTTAGTGGAGACAGGGTCTTGCTCTTGTTCAGGCTGGTCTCAAACTCCTGATCTCAAGCAATTCTCCCAGCTTGGCCTCCCAGAGTGCTGGGATTACAGGCGTGAGCCACCATGCCCAGCCTCTTTTGTATTCTGTAACAACATTCATCATCAATTTCTTAGATTTCCCACTGACAAAGATTCCAACTGGTTGAATAAATGAATAGTTTTCTAATGTAAAAAATTAATCTCAAACAGAAGTAAAATTTTACAAAAAGATACTAGCAGTTCAATTTAATGACTAGCACTAGGCAATGTGCACTCGTGCACGTACACACAGATACACATATCCATCAATACACACCTGAAACACCGAAATAGCACACACGCTGACCAAAATCACTACTCTAACATCTACTTTAGGGGCTAGGCGCCTGCTATAGTAGTGGTAGTAATGGCTGTAGTACTCTTCTGGATGATCCAGCATGTAGTCATAATCTTTTCGTGTTTCTTCATCCTGTAAAATGACAAGATACCCAATTTCATAGGATATTTCGTTAAATGGCCTTAGTTTATAATCTATTAAGTCAAAATCTAGAATTTTATAATTATGTAAGATTAATGTGAGCAAAAGAATTGAAACTGTTAAAATCAAAAATTGCCTATAACTCTTTAAAGACATATAAATTTGTTTCCAGAGCTTTAATACTAGGTATAAAAGCATAATAAAAGTATTTCTTAAAACTCTTGAATATCATTAGCCTTCTAGGAAAAATAAAAACACTTTAATAATAATTAAGCATTTAGGTTTTTTTGCTTTTTAGCTCATGCTGTGGTGCTAATAAGGATGGCACCATGTTCCTATAACTTAAGAGCATGTTGACAATTATTCTCAGCTGTTAATTTAAAAAAATGTTTATCTCTTGTATATATTCAAAATCATGTTCCAGCCTTGTATAGAAAGTCTTCTGCTGAAAGCAATGATTAAGACAGCAGAAAGTAGGTGGAGCCAGTCTGTGCCTACAAAACTGAACTATGCTCACCTCAGAAACTTTGAGACATCAATGCAGTACAATGGTCACAGTCTAGCTTTGTGACATTGGGCAAATTTTAATTTGTTAAATTAAATTTAACAGCAAAATTTTAGCCTGAGTCTGACTATTCCTCATCTACAAAAAGAGATAACAATACCTTCCCTACTATTTTCACATAGTTGTTTTGAATATCAAATGGCAAATATTATATAAAAACATGCTACAAATATATAGTGCTTTACTATCGTAACACATTGTCACAGCCTAGTACATAAACGAGGTAACATATAGATCTTTCTTACTCATACAAACTCACTGAAAGAATTATAGCATTCTGAAATACTGCTCTGAATGTTCACATATAAAACATTTTTTTAAAAAAATCTTCTCTAATTCTAATCAATTTCTAACAGGAATAAATGTCAGTGTTTTATTGAGCTACATAAGTTGAGAGTTATTAAACTAAGTTATGATTTGCTCTTTATGCCACACACAAAAATATTTATTTTTCAACTTGTCCCATTTCTAAAAAAAAAAAAAAAAACGAATGCTAAAGATAAAAAGTAAGACCAAAACAAATTCTTTACTCTCTAGATGTGAGTGCAAGAAAAACCATTACAAAAATAAAAATCTTTTTTAACTCAGAGGGTTTCCTTCTAGGATGAATTATTCAACATTCATAAAGTTGCAGATTCTTAGCTAAAGGCATTTCAAAATCTAAAATTAGTTCCTCGCGACTGCAGACAGATACTCTAAGGTCTGTTTAGGGCATCTTTCTGAGTTCCCCAACATGTAGTTTCTTAGATTTAAAACAAGTTGTTGGCTAGCTGGGCACGTTGACTCACGCCTGTAATCCTAGCACTCTGGGAGGCCAAGGCAGGAGGACTGCTCAAGGTCAGGAGTTGGAGACCAGCCTGAGCAAGAGCAAGACCCCGTCTCTACTAAAAAATAGGAAGAAACTAGCTGGATAACTAAAAATATATAGAAAAAATTAGCCAGGCATGGTGGTGCATGCCTGTAGTCCCAGCTACTCAGGAGGCTGAGGTAGAAGGATTGCTTAAGCCCAGGAGTTTGAGGTTGCCGTGAGCTAGGCTGATGCCACGGCACTTTAACCCAGGCAACAGAGCAAGACTCTGTCTCCAAAAAAAAAAAAACAAGTTGTTTGCTAATGACAAAATCTTCCTTGTATCTAATAAAATCATTATGTATTTTCTATTAAGAATTTTGAATCGTCTGGGTGAGGAGGCTCACGCCTGTAATCCCAGCAGCACTTGGGACGCCGAAGTGGGAGAAGGCTCTCATGAAGCCAGGAGTTCAAGACCAGCCTGGGCAATATAGTGAGACCTCATCTCTACTGAAAAATTCTTTTTTAAATTAGCCAGGCCTGGTGGCATGTGCCTGTAGTCCTAGCTAATTAGGACACTGAGGCAGGAGGATCACTTAAGCCCAGGAGTTTAAGGTTACAGTGAGCTATGATTGTGCCACTGTACTCCATCATGGGCAACAATGCAAGACCCTATCTCAAAAAAAAAAAAAAAAAGGTTTTGAAACTGAGCGAGACCATTCTCAGTAACAGTTCTTCTCCTACATTCATTATACTCAAAATGTTTTACTTCTTACTGATATATGAAACTATATAAACTATTAATAGTATCTGGTTTAATTAGATATGAATATATTTAAAGATTATTTCATGGCACTACATGGAGCGTCAATATGAGAAGTGCCAATTATATATGGAGAAGTGAGCACAGGTGATATTATTTTCAAATTCACTCCTAGTATGTTCTCTTCCGTGAGAAAGGATTTTCTTGTGGCAACTGCCATATGTCTCAACTGTCAATCCATTATTCTTTCGTTAGGTCATCATCATATTCCAGAGCTTCTAAACTAGAAAGCCTAAAACTTTGCAGAGATCACACATACAGTCCTGAAGACTACAGCCCATGTCTCTTGAGGTGTCTCAATCTGACTGCTTCCAGATAGCCGTTTGAGAACTTTTCCCATTCTCCCTCCACTTTTTGCCTTTGGGCTAATTTTATAGAAATGCCCTGTTTTGAGCCTGAAATTCCTGACTTTTAACTCAGCCTCCCTATCTCAACAGATGCCTTCTTCTGAAGTGTATTTCTTCCAATACGATTGTTCTTGCTCTAACCAGATTACACATATTAAATAGCTTGGAAACTAAACAGCACACTGACAGCAGATTCCTGCAATCCTCCGGCATCTCTGTCTACGCTCAGCCCTTTGCCCTGGCAGTCTGTGTTCCCTCTAGTTGACATACACAGCAAGGTCTCTGAGTGTCATGGAAATCTTGTGTCCAATGGCTACCTTCTCTTTTTTGTTCTCTTAGTGAAGGTCACATTCCACAGAATACAGATATCATCCCTCCTCAAAGCATTTCACCCAGATCTTCCACCAGGGTCACTATCTTCTCACTGGTTTCTAGATTTGTGACTTCACCAAGTCCTGAACTCTTTTAACAGGATGGTCAATTAATGTTCCAACACAAGCAACTCCAAAATCTATACAGCATGTCCGGCCACTCTACTGCAAGCAGAGCCTGTGGAGTCTATTCAGAGCCATCTAATGAGTCCTCATACCACCTAATTCCTGCAAAAGGTCTCAGAGTCATGTTCGACTTCTCTTTCGATGGTTTTCTCTTCCTCGAGGTCACCATAAGTTTATGACCCTGTTTTGGTCACAACTAGTGACTAGAAACTTGGCCACTTCCTTGCAGCATGTATTCAATTTATCTAATCTTTACTCTAGGGCTTATGGCTTTTTCTCCAGAATGAATAAAATGATCTTTAGGCTGAGGCATGCATACACTTCAGAAAGTATTCAAGGTCAGCACAAATTGGTAAAAGTTAGGAGTTCTCAACAGCTTAAGTCAAAATACTACTCTTTAGTTACCTACAAAGATTAGAATCAACCTAGTAAGAACAAGAGGATACCAGAAATATTAGCAAAGAAAACACAGAATAAGAAGGACCATCTCTCTTTCTGGAACTCAATTAGAGAGTGAAAGTACATTCTTATTTTAAGACAATATATTTATTTTTTTCTCCTACTCATTATGGAACTACAGTAGGCCCACAATTTTTGGTTTTTTATCTCGAATGCTTCCCCACGGCCAAAGTTAAAATGTCCTTTGCACGCAGCCAGGCCTCACAACACACCCAAACTTACCTACCTAGTAACATCTCTTAGCACTCTCCCCTCTTTTACCCATAGCAAACATTCAGATAGCAAGTTCTAGAATTTGGTGTGTTCCTCCAATACAACATGCATTTTCACACCTATACCTTTGAACATATAATTCTAACTTGAAGCCCATTGCTTTCCTCCAAACTCATGAGCTTCTGTTAATCCTTTAGGACATAAATGTTACCACCTCAGAGTTAGACCACTCTTATTACACTTCATATCTATTTTTTATAGCACTTATCACATTGTAATCATCAATTTTTTCTTTTCCTTGAATGAAAATTTCTAGAAGATAGGTAGGGTGACTCATTAATCTCTGTATATCCAAGGCCTAGCACAGTGCCTGGCATTCAGTAACTGTCATTTCTAAAACAAGTAAAATTTTATAAAGGTTTTCCCTCACTATATACATCTCTGCAGCCACACAGGCCTCCATCTCACCAGAAAAGCTAGATGGGTGATTATGTCACTAGAACTTCAGCTTAGCAGAAATGACTGCTTGAACTCATAGCTTATGAAAATATGCTACTTTGGCTAAAATAACTTAAACCTTAAAACAGTTTAATTATCTTACCTTTCAATAAGGTAGTACTTTTTCTTTCAGCAATTTTGTGGATCTTAAGGTCCCAGAGTCTGGAGATTCCAACTTCTTTCCAAAACCAAAACCTTTATACTTGTTTCTTCCTCCTCTCTGTCCTGAGCCTTGACAAGCAGGGCAATAAACTCCTTGTTTCTAATCTCTACAGGAATAAATGGTGCTTCTGCTGGTGTCCACTCCATTCCCAATCCTCTTGGGCTTACGCAGGAGGACTGGAACATAGCCACCAATATCTAGATCAAAAGTGAACAAGAGGAAACCCACAAGCAAAGAAAGCACTGAATCCTTCCTTCTCTTATGAAAATGATCATCCCTCCTCCCCAAAGGTAAAATATATTACGCTCTTGCCTTTGAAGGAAATCATAAATTGCAATAATTTGATATTGCAGCCAGCTTTACATTAAAAATTTCTATTATACAGAGTATAGAAGCCATTTTCAAATGGTAAAGGCCAGGAATCAATAATATCTGAAAATGTAATAATATTGTATTCATTCTTAAAAACATATATTAATCCTATTTTTAAAACACACACACACATACATAAATGATCCTTCAAAATAAAATAAGCCCTGCTTCCCTAAATATTTTTCTGGGCCATTATATCCTACTAAAGAGGAAGAAAATTAACTGCTATCAGTTTCATTTCTTTTCTTGTTCCCTGCCCACCAGTCA